AAAATATGTCAACGGGCTCTTCACCGACGCTTTCGACTCCACCGGCAAAAAGAAAGAGAGGTAGACCGCCCAAGGCCACGTCTTTGACAAATCAAATCACCACTAGATTGAATATCAATATAAACACGTCTCCACTCACTTCTAGTCCCACTGCAGAGTCCAATTCTAATTTAATAGTTAAACAGGGTGCCCCAGACTGCTTCACACCTTTAATGAGAGTGTCACCGAATTCTAGAAGAAAGAAAAGAAAGTCTTCTAACTCTAGCCTTTCAGATTTGCTGACGCCTTCCAAGAGATCTAAGAATCCTAATATGTTGGTAACACCAATGTCTTCTGCTGTTATGGGGACCGGTTTTACACCTCATCAGATTAATTCAAGAACTTTGGATAACCTTTCTTTGATCACTCAGTCCGATAGTGGAATCTATCAAACTCCTCCATCATCAACTGTCAAAGAGAGCGGTCCTACTTATTTGGGATATTTGAATACGCCTTCCACAAGTAACCCTCTGGTTAAGGGTTCTGGTAGGCATAATATTATAATCGACCCTTCATTCTTGGCATCTGAAGAGCTGCCAAAATCTGAGGTGCAAAAGAAGTTGAATGCTAACATGCAAATGGGAATTTATGAAAAGAGTTGTGATAGAAATCTTTTACCGCCCGTACCCATAATTTCATCAACTCTTACCTCTTCCAAAAAACAAACAGGATTTGAAAATGCACCCTCTACACATATTAGTAACGAGAAGCCTTTCCAAAGGAAGCCTTTGAAAGATGACTCAAGTAAGGATTTTTCGCTACAACTAATGGTCGATGAACTGGGAAAGGCCGTATTATCTTCGAAGCTTAATCATACCTCTTCCAACTCCTCAACACTAGAGCAAACCATACTGTCTGCGAAGGGAATTAGTCAAACTACTGAACAGCGGGATGTTAAGCTACCTGAACAGCAACGACCAATTATGCCTCATGCGCACTCTGTCGTGGGCATCGAAGGCAGGTATTACGACGCGAAAAGACTTGAGTTTAATCAAGATAATTTAGTTGATGTCGCTTATATGTCACCACAACAGAGCACAAGCTTGCATTCTACATCGAGAAGGAATAAATCTGAAACGTCAGGCCCAGTAAGCCAACCAAATTTGATGTCAGGTCAGGAAACTAATGAAAGTTCTCATTCGGAGAAGTCTCTTCAATATCCACAGACTCCAGTATGTAAGGAGAATTACATGTATTCTTCGACTGGATTAACACCCGGTAATAGTTTGGCATTCAACTTAACACCTCAATTCAATTCTTTAATGTATTCAATGATGAATATCAACTCGCCTCAGACAAAAAAGCCAATTAATAACAATCAATTTCTTTTGAATCAAGAATTCTTCGTGAATGATAATCAGCTTCAAAATCAACAATCTCCATTCGAACATCATAATACCATAAATATGACTGACTTGATGACTATTGGAGAATCCTCGGGATCGTTTGGAAAGTTACAAAAGCCTGTAGATCATCATTCCGATTTCGCTGTGGTTTCATCGTCGTCTAGTTCAGTAAATAATGAAGATTCTGGTGACGCTAGATCTGCCTTGAAAAAGATTATTCATGTCAAAAGAAAGTAAGGACACAGATATGAGATATTCTAGGCAAGAAAGAACATATAAACAATTTTATTAGCATTTGTGCATTGACTACGTTTTCATAAACATTGAATTACTATACTATCATTTAGACTCGCGTCGCTTATGCCTGGGCATTCCTGACGAGTCTTGAGACAGGATATTACTTCAACAACCTTTATTTTTATTTTTCATAATGCGTTCAAGTATTATTAGAGTCTATTTTATTTTAATTTGGAAGCATTCTTCAAATACGATATGCATGTAGAGTAAGAGCATTCATGTAATTCTATTCTAGTGTAACTAAGGGCACGTATGAGCACTTTTCAGTCCTGGTGTGTATAAGAAAAAAAGAATAAATAAAATTGAAATTGAAATTGAAATCCACACTACTAAAAATTTTTCACTCAGTTCAATATATAGTGTGGAAAAATCTCCAACGCATTATAATAATCTTCATCTTCAAATTACTTGAATTAATATAGAAAATGTCTCACAGAAAGTACGAAGAACCTCGTCATGGTTCCTTAGGGTTCTTGCCAAGAAAGAGAGCAGCCAGACAAAGAGGAAGAGTAAAGTCATTCCCAAAGGATGTTAAATCAAAGCCAGTCTCATTGACTGCTTTCTTGGGTTACAAGGCCGGTATGACCACTATTGTTAGAGACTTGGATCGTCCAGGTTCTAAGATGCACAAGCGTGAAATCGTTGAAGCTGCTACTGTTGTCGATACTCCTCCTTTAGTTGTTGTTGGTGTTGTTGGTTACGTTGAAACTCCAAGAGGTTTGAGATCTTTGACAACTGTTTGGGCTGAACATTTGTCCGAAGAGATCAAGAGAAGATTCTACAAAAACTGGTACAAGTCTAAAAAGAAGGCATTTACCAAATATTCTGCTAAGTACGCTCAAGATGGTGCTCAAATCGAGAGAGAATTAGCAAGAATCAAGAAGTATGCTTCTGTTGTTAGAGTTTTAGCTCACACTCAAGTCAAGAAGACTCCATTGACCCAAAAGAAAGCACACTTAGCTGAAATTCAAGTTAATGGTGGTTCTGTTTCTGATAAGGTTGACTGGGCTAAAGAGCACTTTGAAAAGACCGTTTCTGTTGACTCTGTCTTCGAACAAAACGAAATGATCGATGTAATTGCTGTTACTACTGGTCACGGTTTCGAGGGTGTTACTCACAGATGGGGTACCAAGAAGTTACCAAGAAAGACTCACAGAGGTTTAAGAAAGGTTGCTTGTATTGGTGCTTGGCATCCAGCCAATGTCCAATGGACTGTACCAAGAGCTGGTCAAAACGGTTATCACCACAGAACATCTATCAACCACAAGGTTTACAGAGTTGGTTCTGGTTCTGACGAGTCTAGTGGTGCTACCGAGTTCGATAGAACGAAGAAAACCATCAACCCTATGGGTGGTTTCGTTAGATACGGTATTGTTAACAACGATTTCGTTTTATTGAAGGGATCTATCCCAGGTACTAAGAAGAGAGTTGTTACCTTGAGAAAATCTTTGTACGTTGACACTTCTAGAAAAGCTTTAGAAAAGGTCAACTTGAAATGGATCGATACTGCTTCTAAATTCGGTAAGGGTAGATTCCAAACCCCTGCTGAGAAGCATGCTTTCTTAGGTACTTTGAAGAAGGACTTGGAAAATTAAAGCACCTAAATAACTTTTTTAGTTAGGATCATCTTAGTTTAAGTTTATAATTTGTAACAATAACGGGTAGTCTTGATCTAAAAATTTTGTGAGATGTAGAAAAATACGAAGTAACGTGACCTTCGTGGTGCGATACACATTCAGCTGTTGATGTTTTAAAACTAATGCATATGTTATAGTTGATATGGCGGCGGTGATACAGCATTTTTCATCCATAAACAATGCGTTTATCTCAACGGTTGACCATTTACCATGTGATATAGTGCGATCTATATGGCTAATTCAATCAATAAATTTATCTTTGAGTAAACATAGGGCTGAAGTTAAAGCCGTACTAAGAAGATTACAGCTAGACATTAATACTGAAGAAAAAGATGAACTAACGAGTCAGGTTATAGCACTCAAAGAAAAAATCAAGAGTCTTGATGAGGAAGGTATAATGGAGGCAGAAGCATTACATAATCAAATCATGATCCATAGATTATCTTTAATAGAGGAACTTGGTCAGTTGAGGACGCTTTTAGACGCTAAAAAAGATGATGCTATAGATTCTGAAGAAAAAGACGTGCTAAGAGAACAACTTAAGAATCATTATAAACTTAACCCACTCAAATCGCAAAGAGAAGCGGTGAAAGAGAGGGCTAACAAAATAAAGTCTAAGTCGTCAGGCATAAAGTTAGTACTTAAAATGCCTAAAAAGTCAAAGACAAAGCTGGGAAAAGTGAAAGGTAATGATAGGAATAAAATCTCAAAGAAGAAGCGGAAAACAGCTAAGCTCAACAAAAACGTGATGACTCCTTTGTATGACGTAATGCCACCAACTCCTCAGGTAGAAGTAGATAACAATGTGTATTGCTTCTGCAAGCAACCATCATTTGGCGACATGATTGGATGTGATAACGAAGAATCATGCCCTAATGGTGACTGGTTTCACTATAAGTGTGTTGGACTATTGAATAGAGTTGATGCGTTAAAGTATACTACTGGGAAACAGAAGTGGTTTTGTTCGGACTATTGTCACAAAATAGTGGAGGGTAAAAAGAAGACTTCCACAGTATACAAGAAGAAAAAGAAGAGAAAAAATTGGTGAGAATTATTGTACATTAAAATTCCGTCTATATGCCTTTAAGTATATGCATAATTATATACATTCGAAGTGAGTTCTCCTCCAGATCATAAAGTCAAAAGCTCTAGCATACCACTAATCTCATTAGCCTCCTTACATTTTCTTACTTCATTGTTTATCCTGGTTTTAAGTTTTTCATAGCATTCTTCAAGAACAACACTCTTGTCGATCAAATAGCCATACATTTCAAGTATAGCACCCAAGAAATCGCATATTAAGTTAAAAGACCTCACGTCCTCTAAGTTCTTTGTAAGCCACTGTAATATTGGAGCTAAAGAGATTTCATCACGACCATATAATGATATTCTAACTTTTCCTCTAGCTTTTAATTCATTTAGAACTGTAAGAGTCAGCTCCTTCGGAAGACCTGTAGCAAATGCACTATCCAACGCATCTGCCCATCTAAATGCATTCAAATGCTTCTCATACTGTTTTAATTTTTTTGTTTGTGTAGTCGACGAAAATACTACATTATGCTCTTCCTCTCCCAAATAATCTGATCCTCTCATCATTCTACTGAAGGCATTTGATTTCATCTGTTTAATACCCTGTTCAACTTTTGAACCTGTTTTCCTTGTCCTTATTGATATCAATCCAGAAGTTAGACCAGTTACGAAATGCTGATGTGACGGCAATGGTGAAACGGCACAACTTAAGACGCCACCACTACCAAATCTCCATCCAAATTTGACATCCCAATTTGAGGTTGAATAATCAAATACTTTAACGTGGCCATCTAAGGAGCCAACCAAAAGACCTCTGTCACCGCTATTATGCAAAGTGGTTACAGTTTTAGTAAAATTATTAAGCTCATGAATTTCTGCACCTCTAGACAAATCCCAAATCTTAACTTTTGGACCTCCTACGCTTACTAGAGTTGTAGGAGATATTGCCAAAACATCTTCAACCGGATTTTCTTGGTCAAATTGAGCAATCATTTGTTTTTGTCTGAAATCAAATACCCTCACTATACCATCATAGCATCCGGTAGATACAAGATTGGGATTACCTGGGATAAAGCTTGCACTTCTTATATAATCTGTGTGATAGCTTTCATCAAATTCAACTATAGGACCTTTGGTAGTTTGTGAAATGTCGTACATTCTTAAGTTTCTATCGTCTGAACCCGTAATTAATTGATTTCCAATAGTTGGATGAAATTTTGCAACATGGGATGGATGCGTCGAAGGGTTCAAGCCGACTAGAAAGCTTCTAGGTTGATAGCTGTCGAAAATTGAAACTAAACCAGTAGCATCTGCTGCAACAAGTAATTTACCATCATATCTAAATTCGCCTGTATAAACTGTATCTTTGAATCTCGAAAGGGTCTTTGTTACTTGTCTTGTCTTTGATGAAAAGATTTGGATTCTTGTGGACGATGTAACAGCAAAATCATGTGGAACCACAGGATTAAAATGAATATGTGTAATGGGATGATTTTCTTTTATAAGTTGTGGATTAGTATAATCTCTCCAGTACCTTTGCTCAGGTGTCGTCTTTGAAGGTAGCGTGGGGTTCCTAGCCTGTTGCACTCTTTGCTTGCTTGACGACATAGCTTTTGTTTCGATGCTCTAATCTTTGGTTCTCATCACAAGAGATGAGCCTTTAAATTTTTCACTAAACAAAAATTATTTATATACAGGCCGCTGCTTCATAGTTTATCGAACTTTTTTCCTGCCTGCCTGAAACACCAACCAAATTGAAATCAAAATGTCGGTGTAGCTTCTGGCTAGCTTCATTTGGAAGAGAGATAACAACAATAAGGGAATTAATTCCAATCTTTTTAGACTCCAGAATCAAATGATCATATAATTTACGCCCAATACCTTCACCAGTACATTCTCTATCGATATATATACTCGTTTCCAAGGTTATGTCATATGCGCTTCTGCCTCTACAGTTGTTGATGTACGCAAATCCCTTGATTTTAGTGATACTTTCAGAATCTGAAATATCGGTATCTCTTATCATTATCACTTACTGGTGATTTTACTAAATCAGAATCAAAATTATTGCAAATTTTTAACCAATTTTGTCAAAAAAAGCCTTGACATGTAAATAGAAATCCATAAAAGGTGGTGTTAGAAAGGAATTACAGACAGAAGAACTTGCTAATTAATAACTTCTTGTTAAACATACTAAAATCAAAGCGCTTAAGTTTCAATTATATTTTATTCATGGCACTTCATAGTTTAGACCTGATTCGATAAATTGGAGCAAAAGTCAGCGATGGACCCTTGAAGAGAAACAAAAAGCCGGCTGATATATTCAAATGATTTCTTCAAAAATTGGTTTGTTTTCTATGATGCTCGAAACACATTTCAGCTCAAGCGATAAAATGTTCGCCTCACATATTTGTCAACAAAAAATAAACTTTTCGCAGTCATAACGGAACCCACCATCATGAATCGAATTGACAAAGAAAAAGGAAACTTGGCTACTTCGACAAGACCAAGTATTGCCAGAAGAATTCTTCGCGAGTCCATAAGAATATCTACAGAGCGAAATTTACTATTAGCCCCTAGGCAAGCGTGCTCCTCTAGTCAAGAGACTAGCCGCCGTGAGACATCTCAAGAAAACAAAAAAATTAACATTTTCTACGAAGAAACACCGAAGAAACCCATTGATCATCACAAGTCTTCAAAGCAACACCGCCAACCGTTATCAAACTTATCTCAGAATATTTCTTACAACTACAATGAATCAAACACCCCCAAATATTATGGAAAATTCGTCAACGTGAAGGTTGGCTCTAAGATCAAGCGCCAATGCGGAGTATGCATGGCTACTTACACCGACCTAAAAGGCTTCAATAGACATTTCCAATCGGTTCATTTGAAAGAACGACATCAATGTGGCAAGTGCTACCAGATTTTCGTTGATCCTCATAGTCTAGAAAGCCATCTAATGCGGAACAGAACCCATTATGCACGGGGTTCACATTAAATCAGCATACCATATCTCCTAGCTAATGATATGACTCATTTCTACTAATTATGGTAGCTAGTTGCAGCACCACCCAAAAAATAGTTGATAACATAATCGCATTTCATTTTGTATTAGATGATTACAAAGCGGATAAGGCCTGTATTCCGTTCTTGGAGGAGTACTACGCCTTTCATCTGCAATTAAAAAAAACGGAGATTACACGGGAAAGAAAAAACCTAGTTCCGTCGTTCCGTACGACTATGAGGAATTGTTACAAGTTTCGATTAAAAGTGAGATAAACTGAGGTATGTAAGAAGGTATGAGTTTGTAATGTTATAGATGAGTCTCCATTTGAGCTATGTAGTAAAGGCATTGACTCCTTTAATTCCGAGCAACCATCATACTTCTCTATCAAAAAAAATTTTGCGACATTGCGGAAACGGGTCTCGGGGAAGAGACAAGATGGGACACCTGCCGTTTTTGAAGCCACTTGGTTAAACGACCTCTGCATCTGATTTACGATCGATGGCAAAAAGTTAAACATAGGAGAAAAGATTTATACTGGTATAGAAAGGCTTTTCATTATAATTTTTGGAGACTATTGGTAGCGTCTTTATATAAATTATCCTTTTAACAGTTTATCTGGCCAAGAGATGAGTCTGTCTTTAAAAGATTTGGAGGGTACAAATCCCAAACTACAGCATCGATTATTGACGCCATTTCTTTCGAAGAAAGTGCCACCTTTGGCGTCTGAAGAAGACAGAAAGCCTTTTCCAGAAAGCAAGGCTAACATATTGTCGAAGATATTTTTTTGGTGGTTGACACCAATATTAAAAGTCGGATATAAAAGAACATTGACACCAGAAGACTTGTTTTACTTAACAGATGATGTCAAAGTAGATACCTTGGTAGAGAAATTCTATGGCCACTATTCAAAACGACTTGAGAAAGCGAAACAGAAGCACTTGGCTAAAAAGTATAAGGAGAGAAATGAAACACCCGATACATCTTCTGTTGAAGTTGAGGATGATCTTCAAGATTTCGTTCAAACTAAGTGGGTAACTATAATATCTGTTGCAGAAACATTTGCTTTTAGGTACTCGCTTGCTTGTGCCTTCGTTGTTCTTGCATTTTCTGGACAGACTTTAAATCCCTTGCTTTCACGAAAATTAATTTCATTTGTTTCTCAAAGGGCCCTTGGTTTAGAACCTCATGTGGGTAAAGGTATTGGTTATGCAATTGGGTCGACCGTGTTAGTGTTCATTTCAGGAATTTTTTTCAATCATTTTTTCTTCCAGTCGATGATGACTGGAGTTCAAGTTAAAGCCCTTTTAACCAAAGTTATTTTGGATAAATCATTCAAGTTAAATGAGGAATCACGTTATAAATATTCAGTTGGAAAAATCACTTCTCTTATGGGTACAGATTTAGCCAGAATTGATTTTGCACTTGCTTTCCAACCATTTTTATTCACTGCACCCGTACCAATAGCTATAGCTATTATTATATTAATTGTAAATATAGGAGCACCAGCGCTAGTGGGAGTTGGAATTTTGTTTGCATTCTTACTCAGCATGGGTCTCATCGTGAAAAAACTCTTTGCTTACAGAAGTAAAGCAAATTCTTATACTGATTCAAGGGTTGACTACATCAAGGAAGTTTTGAATAACTTAAAAGTCATCAAGTTTTATTCTTGGGAACCCCCATACCACAAAAATATTTCTGACATCAGAAATAAGGAAATGAGTATTATTTACAAAATGCAAGTTTGGAAGAACTTCATTACGTCGATGGCGATGTCATTGACATTTATAACGTCAATGTGCTCCTTTTTAGTGTTGTATGCCATAAATGGCACTAGAGACCCTGCTGATATATTTGCATCGCTTACATTATTTGGTCTCTTGGCTCAGCAAGTTAATTTTCTTCCGCTTGCTTTGGCATCTGGATCTGATGCGTTTATTGGTTTGTCGAGAGTCGGTGAGTATCTATCATTAGATGAAATCGATCTTGAACAAGTCACTATTGAAGCTTCACCTGAAATAAAGGTTTCAATGGAGAAGGATGACGTAGCAATCAAGGTTGATGATGCAACATTCGAATGGGAATCTTTTGATATGAAGGAGGGAGATGATAATGACAATGATGCTAGCCATGAAAACGACGATGGTCTTGCTGATAATGAAAGCAAGGTCCAAAAAGTAAAGGAATCTGTTGAATCGACGCCTAGCGAGAAATCCTATGGAAAAATCGAGTCTGACGAAAGCACAGTGGATGAAAGATCTTTCACCGGTTTAAGAGATGTAGATTTAACAATTAAAAAAGGTGAATTCATTGTCGTTACAGGTTTGATTGGCTCTGGAAAAACATCTTTATTGAATGCTTTGAGCGGATTTATGAAACGTAGCAAGGGATCTATCAGTGTGAATGGCTCTCATTTGCTCTGTGGTTACCCGTGGGTTCAGAACAATACCGTGAAAAATAACATTCTATTTGGCTCTGATTATGATGAGAAAACATATAATGAAGTAGTTTATGCTTGTTCATTAGAGAGTGATTTAGATATTTTGCCAGCAGGAGACAACACAGAAATTGGTGAACGTGGAATTACTCTCTCGGGGGGTCAGAAATCAAGAATCAATCTCGCAAGGGCTGTTTATGCAGATAAAGATATCATTCTTATGGATGATGTCTTAAGTGCAGTTGATGCTAGAGTGGGTAAGCACATTATGGACAATTGTATGCTTGGTCTATTGAAGGATAAGACCAGAATATTGGCAACTCACCAATTATCTTTGATAGGTTCAGCTGACAGAGTCATTTTCTTAAATGGTGATGGTACCATTGAAATAGGAACTTTTGAAGAACTTCAATCTAAAAATGAGGGATTTAGTAAGTTGATGAATTTCAGTAATGATCATGAAAGTGAAGATGAGGAAGAAAATGACTTCGAGGATGAAGGTGATGACTTGGAACTTGAGAAAGAGGAGATTAAACGCCAGGTTTCCAAGAAATCAGTTCAGGATGAAGAAGCTATTCATAGAAACTTCAATGAGGGTAAAGTTGGTAGCGGTAAATTAATGGAAATAGAAGGTAGAGCTGTAAATGGGATCAAATTCGAAGTTTACAGAGACTATGTTAAACATGGGTCTGGTATTTTTCCGCGATACACGGTTTTTTGCTTCATCATATTGTGTATGATTTTGTCAACCTACTGTATGTTGTTCACCAACACTTGGCTTTCATTTTGGACGGAATATAAGTTTAGAAACAAATCGAATGGTTTTTATATCGGCTTTTATGTGATGTTCACCTTCTTAGCATTGATATTCTTAACAGTAGAGTTTGTTGCATTGGCATATTTGGCAAATACAGCGTCGGTGAAATTGAACATTCTTGCAATAGATAGAGTTTTGCACGCGCCTATGGCATTTATGGATACTACACCTATGGGTAGGATTTTGAATAGGTTCACGAAAGACACCGAAGTCTTAGATAATGAGATTGAAGATGAACTTAGAATGTTGATCTTTACCTTTGCCCAAATAATAGGTATAATAATTTTGTGCATTTGTTACTTACCGTGGTTTGCCATTGCCGTTCCTTTCATGATATTTGTGGTAGTTGCAATAGCTAACTTTTATCAGGCTTCTGCAAGAGAAGTGAAACGTCTTGAGGCAGTTCAGAGATCTTTTGTATATGATATCTTTAACGAGACTTTAGGCGGAATGCCTACTATAAAATCTTTCCAAAGCGAAGGCAGATTTCTTAATAAACTTTCAGCATTGATTGATAAAATGAATGAGGCCTATTACGTCACAATAGCAAATCAGCGTTGGTTGGGTGTGCATTTGGATATTGTAACTTCCGGCTTTGTTCTTTTGATCTCTCTTCTCTGTGTTAACAAAGTGTTCAACATAAATGCATCATCTGTTGGTTTGGTTTTATCCTACTCCTTTCAAATTACGGGTCAAGTGGTTATGCTTATAAGAACCTTAACTCAAGTCGAAAATCAAATGAATTCAGCCGAGAGATTATGCCAGTACGCATTTAATTTGCCTCAGGAGGCACCTTATTATATCGAGGATACGGCTCCTAAAGAAACATGGCCTGAAGAAGGAGGTATAGTGTTTGACCAAGTTTCATTAGCTTATAGGCCGGGCCTTCCATTGGTCTTGAAAAGTTTAGACTTCAAAATTAGACCTATGGAAAAAATTGGAATCTGTGGTAGAACCGGTGCCGGAAAATCTTCTTTAATGACAGCGTTATATCGTTTAACAGAGCTAGAGGCTGGGCTGATATACATTGACGGAGTTGATATCTCTACGATTGGTCTTTATAATTTGAGATCAAAATTGTCGATAATTCCACAAGACCCAGTCTTATTCAGAGGGACAATAAGAAAGAATTTAGACCCCTTTAATCAAAGCCTGGATGATAGCTTGTGGGATTCCTTAAGAAGATCGGGTCTTATCGAAGACCAAAAGTTAGAATTTGTCAAGGCACAAAAAAAGGACAACCCAAATATGCACAAATTCCATTTAGACCAGATTGTGGGTGACGAGGGAGGAAACTTTTCGCTCGGAGAGCGACAGCTTTTGGCATTTGCAAGAGCTGTAGTAAGGGAGTCTAAAATTTTGATTTTAGACGAAGCAACTTCCTCAGTGGACTATGAAACCGATGCTAAGATCCAGTCGAACATAGTAAATGAATTTGCTGATTGCACTATTTTATGCATTGCCCATAGATTAAAAACCATTATCAATTACGATAAAATTTTGGTTTTAGACAAAGGCGAGAAGAGAGAATTTGATACACCTTGGAACTTATTTAATAGGGACGGTAGCATCTTTCAGCAAATGTGTCATAGGTCTAAAATTGTCGCTGAAGATTTTGAGCGAAAGGACGTTTAGTGGGTCTTTTTTTAAATAGTGAAGTTGGATGTTAATTCTGATGCTCACAGTGTTATATTCGACCATCATCATGATATACAGCTTAAGCATTAATTCTACATAGTTGTACTTATTTATTCATAATATCTATTAGTTTATTTCATCTTCTTCTTGTAATCAGCGAAGGATAATTTCTTTTTGATCGGAGGCGCACTATCAACATTAGTGGATTTTACTTGATGGTTCTCGGGTGATCCTCTTATTTTGCCATTTGAATCTTCTTTATGATCTCTGATAGTTGAAGCTGCTCGCTTGGTTTCTTCTTTTTCATTATTAGGATTACTTTGTTCTTTGGGAGCTATGTTTAGTTTCTTATTAACAGAAACTTCAATTTTATCGTACAATTTAGATGATATGGGGACAGGTATACCCTTTGTTTCGAGAAACCGGGTATCTATTTTCTTATTTCCCCGGCTATAACTGACACCTCGAATGTTTGTCCGAGAGATAAGCTGTTGCTTATAAGGAACATGAAAGAAAATCGACTTTTCTTCAACTTCATGACTACCAGAATCAGTATCCAAGGCGCAGTGTTCTTCCTGGTCACTTTCTTTCTTTTCATCCGTAGTTATAGATAACTTCATTTGAATAGTTTCATCCCTGTCATCTAAACGCTCTTTCCATGAACGATACACCGGTGGCTTTTCTTGACTGAAGAGTTCTTCCTTCGATTTATTCAAATTTACATTACTGATTGAAGCAGCTTTTCTGGTAGAACGCATTAAATAAGACGTTGCTTTCTTTATTTTAAACAACGCACAATTTGCATTCGAAGCAGATGTAGAGCACCCACATTCGACGAAGTGGAGTATTTTGTCGGTATTTGTTATTAAAAAAGATTTATCACTATCAGAAAGTTGATCAAATTTTAAATTCTCATTTTCATAAAACTTCAAAATCGGGTGATTTGAATCCCAGTCCCACTCCAACCGTAACTCTTCTTCATTAGTATCGGTTAGCTTGATTGGTTTAGAAGTAGCTATAATGAATTTGAAACTTTTAGTGGAAGGAATGTAAATTTTATTAAGTTTGCAATTCGAAGAGGAGGGACATGACTTCCTGATAAATCTGGATTCGTTTCCTACAAATCTTGAGTCAATGATAAGGTCTATTTTGTTTTCAAGATCAAGACTTGTTCTTACGACTTTAGGCTTTGTCGTTCCCCAACTGGAATATTGATTGATTGGATCCTTTGCGTAGTTATCAAAATAATCAACTTCACCTAAATATTCAATAATGGGAGTATCTTGAGGTATCACATACTCTTCATCACCAGACCAGTGTTCTCTCTTGATGAAAAGGCCTAGCTTGGAAATTCCATTAAATCTCAGTTTCTGGTTTTCGTTATAGGATTTAACTTGAATACTAGTCTTATTTAATCCCTTGCTTGTAGTCTTGATATCTGCTTGAGATTTGAACATTTCATGGTTTGGAAGAATTATTTTACTAAACTTAATGGAATCAAACTGAGTTGGAGACATAAACTGAGCATGAGTCAGCAAACTATTTTTAGACAGCTTGTGCTCTTGAAAAAATTTATTGCCACTCTTTTCAAGAAGCTCCTTTATAAGGGTTGTCTTATAATCATTCTGAAGCAATTTATAATAGACAGACTGGTATGCTTCTGCAGTAGATCCGTCATTCAACAATTCATTGTTTGGATTTGGGAGATTATCTGGCTCTATATCAACACTAAGTTTCGCAGGAGGTATGGGGGACCCCAAACTCCGATTTTTAGACATACTATCTGGCAAGTCTTTTGCAGAAGTTTCTGATGTCACATTAGACTTTTTTCTTTTGTCTTGCTTCTCTGATTTTCCCGTAGACTGTTTTCTTTTTCCATTATTCGGCTTACGATTGTCTACCGATCTTTCGGCATCGAGTCGACGCAACGTATTTTCACGACATACATCTGCTCTGATCTTCCCCCACTTGTTATGGTCACAATAAAAGCACTTATATTCGTCTTCAGGTACCTCATCACTAGATTCAAATCCCATACAAACACAATGCTGCCACCTGTAACAGATATCACATTGCACAGTGAATCCGTCATCTTCATCAATACCACATATACACCCTATTAGACCTGAATCTGGATCTACTTGATATTCGTTCAAAGGGGGAACCTTAAAAGTATTAGGAGAGTCAATATTCAGTGCCAGCACGTCATTGGGGATCGTTTTTGACCTTTCCTCTTGTTTCCTCCCGCTGGGGATTTCCTCTTCGGTTATGTCCTCTTCCTCTGGTTCAGTCAATTGATCTTCTGCATGCATGTCATTCTTCGAGTCAGACATATTAAGTTCATTACTCTCAACTTGTTTTAGCGGAAGGGGAATATCTGCCGCAGCAGCCAACGCAGCAGCCGCTATCATTGCATTTTTGTTATTCCTCTCACCTGTTTCCAAGTTGATACCTCTCGCCAATGCAACGTTTGCGGGTCCAGGCGACCTGTGCATTTGATAGCTCGATAAAGTCTGAGAGATTTCAGGTGTGGAACTGGACCTCTTATGAGTCTGCGTAAAGTTTCCTTTGACAGGCAAATGTTCCTCTAATAAAGGGTTGGATACTGTCGTATCCTCATATGATTTATTGGTAGGATTAGATTCAACCGGTGGAGCAGACCTAATAGTTGGAATCTCTGCGTGCAGTAGTGTTTCGATTTCAGTCCCCACTTGATTATCACTTGGACCATCAGTTACTGCTTCCCTTTGCGTAAATCCATCTGCTGGGTCGATTGAATTAGTCGTAATTTTTGCCACACCCTTTTTCATGTCAGTCCGTGTATCATCATTATTAGGGCTGGCTGTACCATATGTTTCCATACGTGGCAGAGGAGTATTCTTAAGTTGTTCCTGCTGCTGCTTTGCGGCAACATTTGCGAACATCAACAAGGCAGATGCATCTTGAAGAAGCTTTTCTTCCTCTGTACTATCAGACATGCTATATAAAAACTAATTTGTAGTCTTATTCATACGAAATCTTTTGTATTTACTACTACAACTTTTGTGTAACAAAAGGGCAACTACGGTAAAAGTTCCAGCTGGGAGAAGGAAGTAAGCCTGTCATTGCAAAGAGCAGACTAACAAGCGTGAAGGCCATTCTTACAGTTTGCACAGCGATTTTGAAGTAATCTATTTGCATTCTTTCAAAGCAATTTAAATCTTAACTATATACATATAACTATCACTATTGGTCTTTACTTTGTTTTCCACCACTTCCCGCTCCAGATTTCTTCTTCTGTAGTTCATTCAAAAACTCTAATTCTTTTCTTAAAGAATCCATAGCATAATACACCTTACTCTGCAAATAAAATGAGTTTCCCTTTTCCTTCGAGTTCATATTAAATAGATATGCATATTTTTCATCTATTTTATCCAATGACAAGTCTTTTCTCTCCAAATCTAATATTTTGAGTGCTTCATCCACATTTATCCCACCTACACTAGCAGACTTTTTGACACCAGTTGATGCAGCAGCTGCAGATGTCTTCGCCGCCTGTTTGTATGCCTCTGAAAATGCTCTTCCAAATACAGACGCCCCCGTAAATATCACATTAACTAACAATCTATGTGCCATCTTCAGATATAAACCTAAACTTGGCTTAATAATACGTTATACTGAATTTGCTGCCCTATGACGGCTGATGGATTTATAGTAATTTAATAAAAAAAGTCAGTATTTTCTCTTAGCTTCTAAATACTTCATATCACGTGCTCAAAAATTTACCATTGAAGAATTTTAACCTAAGTATCAAGTGTATACAAAATGCATCGACGAGCGTCATACGATTCAACGTAGCTGACATTGGCGATGTAGAAGAGTTCGTTTACTTTTTGGTCAGAATAGAATTATAAGATATGTAGTAAAAAAAAAAAAAAAAATTTTTCTCTACCAAATTTAGGATGTAGCATCATGCCATGAATCTGAGTAATAATAGAGCAGATATGATCTGCTCGTTTATCAGAACTTCGGTAACATGTAATGCTAGTATAATCTAAAAGTGCCTGAACGAAAGAATTAATTGTGGCCAATCTGTTACAAAGGTCAATTAATCTTTAGCTGATCTTTGGGCAGCATTTGGCTGCACATCATGTGCACACGGCCGCCACCCAAAAGGCTTTATATGTAGTAGTACTCGAAAGTACTCTAGTTATATTATATATGATATAGTATAACCACTACTGATGATAGTGTTCAGAAAAAGGGTGCACAGGGGAGTGGGTTCTTTTATAGTCAAATATAAACCGGGTAACTAGAGATGAGCTTTAGATTATATACACGCCTTTTTGAAAAATCAATATGACCGATGTTCAGGCTCTACTCTGGGTAAATCCAAATAAATTTAAGGAGACTTTCTGAATGCTCTCATAATTGCAAATCTCTAACTTAAAATTCTCTCTTTTTAGGTGAATTTCTATTAGCATGGCAATACTGTCAGTCATGTTAATGCCCGCTATAGAATTGTGCAGCATATACCGAAATTGACATCAACTCATACTGTATATAAACCATCTCATCTCAGATCTTAATAGCCATTGACGGTATGATTAAAGCAGTCAGAGGTTGGAGAATATGTCTTCTGGTGATAGCAATTTCATCCAACATGTATTGCTGTGGATAGTTGGACACGGTTTCTGGAATAATCTTATTGAAATAAGAAAAGGGGCCCATGGAATAGGTGTTTTTCAGAAAGGTGGAAATCTCCAAATAGATGATATTCTATTACGGATCCCCAAATCAAACATACTATCGCCGAAGAATTCGTATATATATAACTTGATATACGATTATGATACCTCCGCTGGAAGTCATTTAAGAGATGGAATCCAAGGCTTAGTTTTAAGTGTAATATACGAGCTGTCACTAGGTGATTCTTCCCCTTGGTTTGATTATTTGCAAAGTATTGATATTTCACTAAAGTCTGACAATCTGATTGTTCCGGTATGCCTTTGGTCGCCGGATGATAAACATAATTTAAAAAATACGGATATTGACGTCCTAAACATCATGGACTCCTCCGAATTGGTTGAATTATATTTGGAGTGCATTAGGTTTGCTGAAAGTTGTTCGAAATTATTAACTGTCCCGAAGATTTTGAGGTTCAATGAAGTTTCAAAGAAGGAATTGTTAGGTGAATACAGTGGGAGGTTATTAGAATTTGGAAAAATCGTACAATTGGTCATGTCAAGAGCATTTTCAATAGATGAATATTATGATATGAGCTTAGTGCCTGGTGCCGATTTATTTAATCATATAGGACCTTTGAGGAATGAGAATACCATCGAAGGTCAAGAAAATATAGAATTCGTCTGCGACAGGAACGCTTGCAGTGAATGTGGAGCAATTGATTGTGAGGAGCATAGTGAATGCTTATCTGACGACGAAGAAACAAATCTGCCCCCCATTGATGAACAATTTGATTGCGAAAGCTGCAGAAGCTCCATTGAGAGCCAAAATGAGGTGCCTTTGAAGGAGATAACTCTAGAATATATCGAAGAGTTAGAGAAATCGCTCAATGAGGCAGAAGAATCCCTGGAGAAAGATTTCGAAGATGAAGACCTGGAAAAAGATGAAAAGGAAGATGAAGAGGAAGATGAACAGGAGGATGAAGAGGAAGATGAAATGGGGAAGGAGCAAAGGGCCTCAGGTGATTGTGGTTTAAATGAGAGCGACGATAGCCTAGATGAGCTGGATGATGATGACTTGGAACAAGAGTTGGCCGACAATTCCAAATGCTGTGATATAATTTTAACAAAGCTGCCAAAAGAAGAATGTGAATTCGAAATCTTCAACTCTTACGGGAACGACTTATCAAATACGTACTTACTTCAAAGATATGGCTTCATAACAGATCGAAATCCTAATAATTCAGTGCTACTCACTTTACCATTTCTTAGGTATTTGAAGCATTATAAGCAAGGACTTTCTATTCAAAGGTCAAAACAAGTAAGTGAAAAATTCGAATGGTTAAGGAAAGTTGGATTTGAGCTTCTAGATAATCTTGTTCTTGAAACTCATAAGAATCAAGAGAGTGGGACTTCTTGGGAGCTTTCCCTCAAAGTGACAGAAAATGGATGCTCACTACAGACCTATGTCTTATTGAATCTAATTGAATTACCAGAGAAGTTCTTTAAAGAAATAACGAGAAAAAAGGAGAAGCACCAAAGCCCTCAGGTCGAAAAGTATTTATTGAAATTTGATCAAGATAGGCTCAATCAAACCGTAAAAGCATTTTGCCAGGAAAAATTAAATAACTATCCAGAACTTATACCCAGTCCCAACTATGAAGTCATAAATAGATTTGTAGATGAAGAAAAGAGGGTTTTGCATAGCTTCATAGAAAACAACTGAACTGAATGACGATACCATAAAAACGTGCATTTTTGGTACCGTGACACTATCTCAAATATATGAAAACTTATCTAAAATTATTGTAAGTCATATTCGATTAAGCAACAGTTCTACTATATATGAGTGACTCAGAACTAGATTTCGATTATGATGACGATATTGATGAGACCGATATATCCTTGGATTCACCGAGGGATGATTTTAGCTTGAAAAGCGAAGAAATTGTTTACGAACCTTGGACCTTGCCATCATTCATACAAACTTTTTTTGTCGACAAGATGATAAGGCTACATGAAATGCAATTACCGCAATGTCCAGAGAGCGATTTATTGATTATGCTTCAGTATAAATGGTGGGAAGTTGACCAAGTGATAAATAATTTCTACGATGACAAGAATCAACTATTTAAAGAATGTGGACTTGTTGAGAACCCGAATAATGAGTTTTCCAATGAGTCACAGTTCACCTGTGTCATTTGTTGTGAGACGTATAAGAGTTGCAGAACTTATTCATTGACCTGTTCTCATAAATTTTGCATCAACTGTTACTACGAATATTTAGTAAACTCATTGCATAGGGGGATGTTGATTCGGTGTATCGACTCTAATTGCTCCTTAACAATACCGCATGAAGATATTGAGGAGATAATATCTGCTAAAAGAAGCCCCGGGGATATCGTAGTTGCCAAAAAGCCATTAAATTTGAATAGCTTGCTTATTGCTAATGCAAAGGTATACATTAAATCCCAAAAAATAAATATGAAATGGTGTCCTGTTCCTGACTGCAATAGCTTAAGTCAACTACTTAAAGGCAATGTATCCGTTATCGAAGGTGACAATGATATTTCAAAGATTCCGATGGTAATGTGTGCTTCAGGACATCAATTTTGCTTTGCTTGTCAATATGAAAACCATCTTCCATGTCCTTGTTGGATAGTCAAGATGTGGATTAAAAAATGCGAGGACGATTCGGAAACGGCGAATTGGATCCAGGCGAATACCCAGATATGCCCGAAATGTAACTCATCGATAGAGAAAAATGGAGGATGTAACCACATGACCTGTTCTAATTGCCATTACGAATTTTGTTGGATCTGCTCCAAAGAATGGGCTTTACATGGAACATCTTATTATAAGTGTAATAAATTTGATCCAGAAGAAAACGATGATCTCGAAAAGACTCGCCAGTCCAAAAGGCTATCTTTACAAAGATATTTACATTTCTATCGAAGGTTTGCGGTTCATGAAAGCTCGATGAATGCCGATAAAAGAACATTAGATAAGGTCAACAATCGTATGAAACAATACATGGAGGCCATGTCTGCTACAAGCGAAAAGGAAGATCTATCTTGGATTGATATTCAATATTTGCATGATGCTGTGAGGTCATTGACGAATGGTAGAAAGACGCTTAAATGGACCTATTGCTTCGCATTCTATTTAGGCAATTCCAACTTTTCTGAAATATTTGAACAGAATCAGGAGTTTTTGAATAAATCTGTCGAGGACTTATCCGAAATCTTCGAAACAATTAATCATAAAAAGAACAAGAATAAAATAGAGATTTTACAACAATACAAGCCAAAGATGATAAATTTGAGTAAGTTGGTCTCCTTGAGGCAACAGACTCTTATAGATGGTGCGGAATGTGAGCTCAATCAAGGACTATTGTACTTCGAGACTTAATTGATCATATCTTAAATATAGAGCATTTATTATGACGTTTTAACATTTCACGACCTGTATATAACATGTACTTTAACTTTTTATCTCATCCATTTTCGGCCTTCGATCCTTATCAGTTAGGACATGAACGCTGGGTTTCGTTTTTTGTTCAATCGATCCATACAAACAAAAATTACGAGGTTATTGGACCCTAGGAAAGACAAGCTTAGTCACTCTGAAGCACTTATGCATTGATGCAAACTATGCGTAACCTGAACTTAGCGCATGGCAATGTTCAGCGAAAAAGCAGGAGTCAGACGAGAGGAAATGAGACTGGAGCTAAAGACTCAGTAAATAAAGAGTGTAGAGAGAGCCATAGACATGGAACGGAAGTAAATAGAAGCAGGGAAAGCAGTGTCAGAGGAAGAAGTAGAGAGAGCAGTCTTCATCGAAAGAAGAGATTTGGACGGGAGGGAAATGTGGAATTGTTGCAGACCGCATTGAGCCATAATCATCAAATGTCTTCCAAGTCGACATCGTCGACCAATATGTCAACAAGAAAGAACATATCTACGACACACGAGACTACTCGTCCACAAATAAGAAAGTGGAATTCATATACATCAGCCAACTCTGATTCCGGCCTTTCTCCACTTACTGTGATTCGAAGCCAACCGGGTGAACAAACAACAAAACAGCTTCTGAATCCTGACAACTCATTTAGAAGCTTGAGTTTACAGGGATCAATAGAGCAGGAAGGTACTCAGGGAGAATTAGAGGATACAGATACGAAGTCCAGGGGTGAAGAAGTTGACGGGAAGATGTATATTCTGCCTTCTTCAAGTTCAAGTCAACCTGCTAATAAATTGTACAATAAAATTAATCTGATTATTAAAAAAGCACATAATAGTATGAATTCATTGGTACCAATCACTTCAGGTTCAAAAGAAATTCAGCCATCTATGAACTCTGGTAACATTTCCAATTATCAAAGCGAATCTGACGATGACACAGAGACTCAAATTGACGTCTGGACCCCGCAAACTCTAGACCTGCCCGAAATTAGGCCAAAGGATGCAAACAAACTATGGAATGAAGCAAGCGACTTTCAAAACACATTGATTAACAAATTCAACATGAATATCAACAATTATGGAAATGAGATCCCAACCAAATTTGGAAGAGTACAACAAAAAGTTTTGGACTTTAAAGAGCTTTACGCATCTGAGCCTCCCTCGGTTCAGCTGAACGGAAACGTCCAGTCATACGATATCAAAATTCAACATGATACATTGATGAATCAATATACTTCGATAAGACTTCGATTTGGCAGCAAAATAGCATCTGGTAAGGGCCAGCTCAAGACAGATACTGGTATCCTAGGCTTTATCAACAGAAAGCATCGTTCGAATAATATGGATATTCAAAACGATAAATACAAACCTTTGGATAATTTGGAACTCACTCCGCGTGAAAGAATCACTATTGATAACAAGAGTGAGTATGTCGCATCAATGTGGAAAAGAGCCCTCAACAGCTCATTCAACCGTGAGCCACCCCAGGATCCTACTACCTCTGAATTAGAAACTCAGGATGATGATGATATCTTTAGTAAAGAAACTTCATCTCTTGACTTATCAGCAATCGCTAGAGGTGTCAAGTTTAATCAGCTTTAATCCCACCTTACGACATTAAAGTCTCCACAGAGCTGATTTATACAGTTATATACACCATGTATTAGTCTTCCCGTTATTCATTAACCTTGACTTCTTATAGCATTACAAATATACTTAAGGTCCTCTTATGGGGGCTGTTATGTATTAGAATTAAAATTGATTGGAAGTTCATTAAAACCGATGTGTAAATGACGACATTTATATACAATATTACTTTAAGATTTTCCGTTACTATATTCTAAAATAGACTAAAGTCGTAACATAACCTAGCAAAAGAATGAGTAGACGACTCAATCTACCCTACACTACTCAAGATTTATTCCCGCAGGCTGCTGGCATGGGAAGTTCAAAGCTTACTAGTCAAGGTTCGGTAACGGGAGGGTCGTTTATATCAACAGCTTCTTCAACATTAAGCAGTCATGCTGGAAATAAGCAAGCTACACAGTCTAAGCTTCAGAATTTCAGGCGAATGCTTAAAAGGTTATTTAAGCCTTCAACGCTTGATTTTGAGACGGCGATCTGGGAGATATTTAATTTGATTATAAACCCGAAGAAAATGTATCGTTCACATTATTATTATAAGCAACAACAGCAAGGTGGTAAATCGAGTTATGCAAGGGACGACCCTTCATTTTTGATATTATTGACAGTGTTTTTATCAATAAGTGCAGTTGCATGGGGACTCGCCTATTCACCACATTTTTGGGATATATTTAAACTTATCATTTATATGGTATTCATTGATTTCTACTTAACTGGAGTTATCATTGCGACAATATTTTGGTTATTTACTAATAGAGTTCTCAACGGAAGGTCTAGTTCTATGAGCTCCTATAGCATTAATTACGTTGAATGGAGTTTTTGTTTTGACATTCATTGCAATTCATTCTTAATTATTTGGTGCTTATTATATTTGGTACAATTTTTATTGTTACCATTATTAACTAACAAAAAATCTTTCTTATCTTTGTTTCTTGGTAACTCGTTATATTTTGGAGCTATAGCATACTATTTCATAATCACATTTTATGGATTCAACTCATTGCCACTTATTGGCCAAGGAACAACACCAAGCAGTAAAGGCTCTGGGACTTTACTACAACTAATTATAATTGTTGGTATTCTCCCCCTTCTAGCACTAGCCTGGATTGTGAGCATTTGCTTTAGGTTTAACGTTGCATACACTATGGTCGATACTTATTTCAACTAATCGGAATCATTTATAAAGAGAAACAAATGACAAGTGGTGACTGCTCTCATAAGTTTACATAAGTATGTATTCTAATTAAAATCATGCTAAAATATCCAATCTTTCACCAGCAGCCTTTATTCTCATACTGGTACGATTGCTCAATTCATAGTCACCAACACCGCTAACGGTTTCTGCCTTTTTCAACCAATCTTTACTTTCATGGACTGCCTGTAGAGCATCAAAATTCTCTTTATTCGCGGTTCTTAATAGCCAAATGAACATGGTTTTTTCATACAATGCTGTGGGATACAAGTATGGACTATAATTCATTCTCGTAAACTTAAACTGTGGCGACTCAGAAGTGACATACTTTGAAATAACATGATTATCGAGTAATGAAAGTCCTTGCGATAATTCTCCCAACTGCCTCAAAGTAACACTTTGTAAGAAGTACCTTATCATACTTTCATCCATTGTTTCTGATATCTTTGCAAAAGACTTCTCCTCTGTGTTGGCTGAATACTCTGAGTTTGGTGCCCCAGAGTATCCGAGTAATTTCAACGATAAGGTGAATTTATCTTGAGTCATTCTGTTGTATCCGTTCCAAAAATATATTAATTCATGGAATGGTGAGGTTCCAACGCAATCAATGAAATCTAGGGTTGGGTGTTTCTTTTTCCTATTCTCAATGTGCTCCATTTTCCTTAATAAAAACTTATCAAATGGCATTTGTTTTTTACCTCCACCAATTCCTCCCTTCTTTGCATTCTCGCCATGACCAGGAACATAAGATGGCGCAATTTTCATATAATGCTTAGCCTTCTCAGAATAATTTTTCAAGGTTTGCTCTTTGTCGTCAACATCTATTAAACCCATCTTTATCAGTCTCCATTTCTCAAGATAGCAACATCCCGCCATAAACATATATAACCCTCTGGACCAGGAATTCATGTCCACTAGTTTTATAAAGTCTTGAGCCGCATTATCGTATTCATGGTTGAAGCTGTACAACATTGCTCTATCAAATAACAAGAGGGCTTCCGCCTGTTGCATTTCGATGTGAGTAGATGGATCATCCGTAAATGCCTGCATTAGGGTAATAGCTTTCACAAGTTGACCTTGGGCAGCTAACATTCTTCCTTCTTGTAACACCCATAGAGCATTGTGAGGAAAATAGCTTCTAGCTTTTTTCAATATCTGAGGCGTGTAAAGGGCTGGATTTTGCAAAATCATATCTAGTTCAGCTTCCGAGACACTAGATTTGTCTTCAATAGAGAGTACCTCTTTCACATTTGAATCTCGTTGGTGAGGCAATTGAAATCCGACATCTATGAATTGTACTGGACCATCATAAAATACCAAAAGACATAATAGAGCTAGTTCTCCGTGGATATTTCGGCTAGATATGGCTGTTTTCCAGAGCATTCTTAAACCTACTTCTCTATCGCCTTTAAATCCAACAATTGATAGAACCTTTCCAATGGCTGGAGGAATTAAAGAGAGCACGACTTGAAGAATTCCAAAGCATAACTGAACACCTGAGTGAATAAATTCGTCAATTGTAGAAACATTTAAATGATTCTTTGCTGCAGTTTCAGTGCTCTCAGAATTAGTCGTATCTATAGATACCAGGGATGCAGATAAAGAATTGTATGAGTCAGGTATGTGACCGTTAAGGTACTTCGTATTATCCGTATAACTATAAGTGTTGGCATCGCTGAAATCATCATCTTCACTGCGTGAATCATCTTTTTCATCATCACCTTCTTCTCCTTTGTTCAAAGCGGACAGTTCCCTTTGGTCTCCTGTTGGTTGTAAAACAACATTAATAGGAGGCACTCTTTGAAATGCAGCATTTTGGTCCAAAGCTCTTGAGCTGCCCTTCCTCGATAAGGAAGCAACAGACAGGTCAAAGGATGTTACCCCTTCAACTACGTTTCCTTTCGATTGCAAGCCCCTGTTTCCAATATTCGTTCCTTCGATACGAGATTTTCTCATTTGATATACTTTTTCTAGGCTCTGCATTAATTTTATATCTTCAGGAGTATTCGAGCTTAGACTTTCTGATGATGCATTAGATACATATCCAGGCAAGTCTACACTACTGAATGATTTGTTAGACTTTTTCATTTTCGCGAGGTTCGACAAGAACGCTGGCTCCAGCTCCTTTATCTTTTTATAGATCGAGTCTAGCGTCTGATAAGCCCTACGTAATTTAAATAGAGCTTTTGCACCTTCCACCATACCATTGTTCTCTTGCAATAACATCACCAACGCGTTGAGTAAAGTCAGCTCGGCATATGTAACTTGAAACTCAGTTCCTGGCGGATAAATGCTGGAAGTTACCAAGTGATGCTTAGCATTATATTTCGAGTTTACCAATGATGCTTCCTCCGCTTCAGATAATGTCTTGTGTGCCCGGGCCATTACGTCGGCTTCAAATCCTAAGGTTGCTTCAATGAACTCCATTACTCCCAAAGCCAAAGGGAAGATAGCAGCCGGCTGATCTGATTTCGATTTCGCATGCTCTCTTGATTCCTTCTTCAATAAGTCAGTACCTTGAGGTGTCCTATCGTCCAACAAAAAATCCATGGCTTTCAATGCTACCTCAAAATCACGGATCTGTTTTAACACCTTCTCGTATGATTCGGCGTCCCCATTTCCTTCCATGGTATGTTGAACAGGAGCTGGCGATAAGACCAACCTCAGTGCTCTTTTCCGTAATCCGTTAAGCATTCCTCTGGAACGTATTTGAAAAAAAAAAGACACAGTCTGACTATATTACCTCTTTGAAGTATCTGAACTGCTGAAACTGTCAATTTTTGCTCTGGCTCTGATCCGTAGATACTAGCTATATTCACGCAGCATTGCCATATTAGTGACAGAAAGAATGCAGTTTATATGTTTATTTTTGCATGTTACTAATTTGCAGTTAGAATTGCAGTTTTTATGTTTGGCCAAAAGGAATTGATCTATAATTATAGGGCGAAAGCGATATACAGGAAATGCCAGCGAAATTGGCTGGCCCTGAAGTTACACAAAGAGAAAAATAATTGTGTATAGAGATACCCTTTGCGTTCATTGATATTTAGTTAGCACTATGTCGTAATATCAATGCTTCGTAGAACTAATTTGATAGCTGCTCTATCAACTTAATAAGAATACTAGAGAGTGTGTTAATTGAACTCTCTATTGATTAGTCCTTTCCAAGCAGCCTTAGGGGGGACAGGCTTGTTGCAGAACCGTTATACAGCTCTTCGGTATATGGCTGGTTGCGAATCAAAATCGGATGCGAGTATTTGATATAAATGCACCTGAGAGAAAAGATACTTGAAACTATCCAGAATAAGACATTACAAGCTCAATTTGTTTTCAGCCATGGTATAGAGATGCAGGTTGCTTGAAGTATACTTGACATATTGTTTAATAAATTATCTAATATCCGTTTTTATGCTTGTATGTGATGTATTGGGAAGATATCTACCAGCTTACTGCATTGCCCCGATTCTTTCAGTTGAGATCATAAATCAATTAGTATATATTACTTACATAGCTCCCACAGTATTTTTTTCTTGTTATTTAAGGTTTATTAGTTACAACTTTCTAGATCACTTACATTCGTTCCCTACTCACATACCAACTTTATTCAATCGTTAAAAATGCAGCAGTATCTTATTAAGTTGCTCACTCTAGTTACTTTCGTTTCTATGGCCGTTTTGATAGATGCAAGTCCCGTCAGTCACCTTGTTGAGCGTGAGACCACTTCTGACTTCAATTCTGAGATATTGGCAGCTCACAACAAGAAGAGGGCAATTCATGGGGTGCAACAATTACAATGGAATGATACGTTGTCACAATATGCTGCAGACTATGCAGCAAAATCATTCTCTTGCGATAATGTTCAATTAATTCATTCTGGTGGACCATACGGTGAAAATCTCGCTGCTGGTTATGCAGGTGGGACCGATCCAGTAAATGCTTGGTATAATGAGATTAAGTACTACAACTTCAGTAACCCAGGTTTCAGTGAGCAAGCTGGACACTTTACTCAAGTTGTGTGGAGCTCAACATCACAATTAGGATGTGCAAGAGTTACATGCGATAATTCATGGAAACAATACACAATCTGTGAATATTCACAGCAGCGAGGTAACATCATCGGAACAGATCTGGCAACAGGGAAAAGTTACTTCGAGGAGAACGTCTTACGCCCACTTTGTTAATTAAATCTTGATTGCTTGCTTTTCGCATTATGTATACTTAATCTTTGTCAAAATCTACAATTATATAGCTAGAATTCACGAAAAATTTATTGACTTACAATTTACAGTGTAACAGTTTTATATAAATCAAAGAGGTTTCATTGAATATCTGAGAGAATCAGCTCGCTTAATTTTTTAAGACTTTAGCGAATTGACCCTTAGATGGCTTTGCCTTGGACTTTTCAGCCTTTGGAGCACCCAATTTTTCATCGGAGAAAGCCTTGGCATAAGGGTTCAATCTTAATAAGACTTGCTTGTTCTTCAATGGGTTTTTCTTCAAAACGTGAGTTTTCTTTTGGCTTGGTTGACCAGCTGGTCTAACAACGGCTTGTACTTCAGCAGAGTTGATCAACCTAGTGACATCGGTGTTAGAAATAATGTTCGATGGCAAAGAGTAGTTACTCTTGACCGACTTGGTCGATTCAGATCCGTAAACAGAATCCAAAGATTCAAAAGCACCTTGAGTCCAAATGACAAATCTACCTAAGTGAGCACCTGGAGCCAATTGTAACAAGCCTAAGTGTTTGACATCAGATGTTTCGACACCTGGGATATTTCTCAAAGCCTTTGTGATACCATTGTCTTTAGCGTAGACAACTAATGGACCTCTTCTTTGAGTAAATCTTCTACCTCTCAATTTACCCTTACCAGCTCTCAACTTCTTGGATTTGATCACCTTGACAAGATCTTTTTGAGCACCAGCAGCTTTCAAGATAGCAACTGCATCCTTAGTTTTAGTAACGGATTCAAAATCGTTAGAGACAACCAAAGGCAATTCCTTGACTTGTTCGACTCTGTGACCTCTAGCCAAAACTAAAGAAGTAACAGCGGAAGCAGCAATAGCAGATGCTGTGGCGTAACGCTTCTCATTTTGGTTAACCTTTACGTGCCATCTTCTCCATGTTTTAGTAGGAGCGAACATACGACCACCACGACACATGTTACCGAAAGCAGCTTGACCAGAACGGTGGGTACCACCACCACCAACTCTTGGAATTCTAGCGACAGCTCTACCAGTACCCCATGACTCGGCTGAAGTTTGGTGACCAGCCTTATCAGAGACAGCGTAAGCTTGCCTTTTGTTCTTGTTAACTCTTACGAAAACAGAGTGAACAATGTCAGGTCTGACTGGGGCAGAGAAAACTGCTGGCAATGGAACTTGGGTAGAACTTTGCTCACCGTTAGTAGAAATAACGGACACTTGTGGGCGGGATGACATTTTTCGATTATTGAATATAACTTAATGTATGTTAAAGAAAGAAATCGTCTTCTGGAGCGCTCTTCAAAGTAGTGAAAAATTTTTATCTGAGTACCAAAAAAAAATAAAAGGTAGTGCAGTGAGATAATTTATTATTCATCGCCATCATCAGGTGACTAGAAATCATGTATTCGAATACACAGGTGATTAAAACGGAGAGTCCCAGAGTAAGGCATCACCTAAATCATCATTTATACTATAAAAGACCTAACCCCAGACTCCACTAACATCCCAACTAAAATATATGAAAAAAAAAAGAAAAATAAAACCAGGTAGATTAAAAATAAAGCAGTACAATGATCATAATCCCGAGTACTGATACTTGGCACTACGTAAGTCAAAATACTTTCATGCTATTATTCAAGACACCATAGCTCTTTATTGAGCGTACGAGATGCGTCCTATGTCATGCGGCATATATTGCCCTAGCGGTATCTTATGAACTCCTTCATGGAGCGTATGTCATAACAATGTAATTTTCTAACATACAACAATGCTCTAGCAGCAGCTATTAGACTCTGGCTGCTGTCTTCTACCTCTATTTAAGTCAACACCACCGGACCTCCTATTTGTAGATTGCCTGGTTCTAGCATTGGCAGTTGCAATGGACTCTTCGACAGGGAGAGCCCTTGCGATTTTATTAAACACTTCCAAGACTCCTTCGCCAGTCTTTGCAGAACATTCAGTTCCTATAACTTTATTTTCTCCATCTTGGTTGAGTTCCTCGATGTATGATTCAAGCTCTTTCTGTTCTACCTCTCTGCTCTCCTCTAAATCTGCTTTGTTACCAACTAAGCATATGACTATACCCCAGGGTGCCTGTTTCTTCAATTCCTTGATCCATTCTTGAGCTCTTACGAAGGATGCACTACTTGTAATGTCATAGACGCATAAGGCAGCATTGGCATTTCTATAGTACATAGGGGCTAATGATTTGTAACGCTCTTGTCCCGCAGTATCCCATATTTCAAACTTGACTGTCGTATTGGTCTCAGGTATGGTAATCGATTGAGTCAAAAACGCTGCTCCTATTGTAGATTCTCTCATATCATCGAAAGTATTCTTAACAAACCTGTGAACGATAGATGATTTACCTACAGCACTTTCCCCCAAAAGGACCAATTTGAATTGTGTAAAACGATGTCCACTGTTATCTTGATCTGTTTTGGACGACATTGTACTGCTAGAGATAATAGATTCTATTGCTTTTCTTTCACAAGTTAGACTTTCCTTTAGAATAATCTGACATCATATAATAAATGGGAGCCAGCTCATTATTTAAACGAGTTTTGTTGTGTACAGGACTAGGTGTGTACTACGCCGGTTGTAAGTCTACAATATGAACTTAATTGATTTTCAATATAGTCTTCAAGTATTTACATGATAGAGAGAGATTATACACCTACTCGGGCGAGACTTTCGCAGCTTCAGCAACTTCATGTTCGTCTTCGCTGTCATACTGTTTAATCTTCAATCTTGGCCAAGATTTCTTTGTCTGTATATAACAAGAATTCGTCGTCTCCAATTTTAAGAGGATTACCACCAAAAGATGGTAACAAAACTTTGTCACCGGCCTTAACAGATGTTGGTATAACCTCCCCCGTCGTTGTATTGGTCATACCTGGACCAGCAGCGATCACAGTAGCTTGATTTAACTTTTCTTGGTTTTTTTCAGGAATGTAAATACCACTGGCCGTCTTGGAAGCCGGCTTTAATCTTTGGACTAAGACTCTGTCGAATAAAGGTCTCAACGATTTAGGGCTCTTTAATAATGATGACTAGAAGTACCGTTAGTGAATGTTCCAACCTAAAAAGGTAGCTCGACAAAAACGAAGTGTTATTTTTTCCGAGAGACCTAATAGTACCCCTTCGGCCTTATTACTTACCATTTTCTAATATTTAATGGATAGCTTATGATATCGATAGGTAGCGTTGAAAGGAATTTGTAACTAATATATAGAAAGACTGACTCTCTAGTCAAAGAACTCAATAGAAAATTCTGAAATGATTCTTGTGTGGGGCACTACTATTCCCTTTTGAGGTATCAAATGGGAACATGTATCACTCGCAGCACAGATCGGTCAAATCAAGCAGCAGTTTTACATGGGGTCTATCTGGGACTTTTCATATCAATGATCAGTATGATAGCCTACAATCGAAAGGTTCTCAAAGACTAGTCCGGTCCCGATCAGAAGATCATAAAAACTTTATGTGTTATTAGTGTGCTTAATCTAAATACCTGTCTAAAGGTTCACCCAATACATTTTCAATTACTCTTACAAGCCCGCTTCTCACTTCCATCTCAACTGATGTATCATCATCTTCCAATAACTCTGCAATGTACGGTACCATTGTTGGAAGGAACAGGAGCCATTGCTCTCCCATTTTCTGAAATATAGTTTTCAAAATTCTAATAGTCCATATCTTTGACTTTGGGGAAGTTGAATCATTTTCATTGGAGATATAACTGATTAATTCTTTGATAATCAATTCATTGTATTCCTCAGATGATACATCAACAACGAACGCAGCAATACACTTCACCAAATACTTGCCAATGGAGTCTTCGATGTTGACTAGCTGCTTCATGAGCGGAGAAAATAAGCTATCAAATCTCAGCTGTTGTGACCAATAGTCGTCCTGATCATATTTGAAAGAAGAAGTTAATGAAATTAATATCATTCTTCGTAAATTTGTGTTCACTAGAGTTTCGTCAGAAAATTCTGTCAAAAGTGAGGATACCTCATCAAGCAAGTATGAATAATAAGATGTGATTATACTCTTAAGTTCCTCTTGCAACTTATTGAAAAATCTGAAAAAAGCCAACAATCTCGAAACCTTAGTAGCCGAGGCTACTTGCGAACCTTCTCCATTTGTAGCCCATCTCACGAGATTTGCAAAGAGAGGTCTGAAGGTTTTGTCATTCAATTTCATAACAAAGCTGATGCTACACGAATGAAATGAGCTTTCCAATCTATGGATAGTATTGTTGTCAAACTTATTGTTGGACTCTTCCACAAAGTTTCTAAATTCAAATACCTGAATCATCCACTTTAAGAATACTGTCGCCTGAGATATAGCCGACTTTTTGTCTATTTTATCTATTATTCTCTGTAATGTATTCAAGTAAAGTCCAATGTTAGCTGCACTATCACAAGCATAGAACTTTTCATTCCACCACAAGTTACATGTGGCCCTTAATAATTGGCTCAAGTCGATATGTTCAACGACTAAACTAAGCACAGTGGATCGCAAATCATAATCTGTTAGATCACTCATTATAACAACAAGCAATATCGAATTCAAGTAACTAGTCATGAATGCGGGCAATTTCTTAATTAAGCTGGAGAGCATAAAGAGGATTGCAGGTTGAACTAATTTGGAACTATCATCTTCAGACCCCTTAGTTGACTCCCAAATTTTTAGTATAGGTGGAACGATTTGAGGAAAGAAGCCAATACTTTTAACACCTAAGACATTTACAATACTTGTAATGGCGTAAATTGCCGATATAATGATTTCAGGTTGGCTATTGAGCAATCCCTGCTCTTTTGTGATAATGGGCAAAAACTCAGTCAAAGATCTTGCATTTTCAGGAAGTGCTAAATCGTTTGTAAATGAACCGAGTTTGGTAACTATCACCGCAAGCATGTCAAGACATGATTGTTCAAGTTCTATATTGTGACTTGAATTGATGAGCTCGAGCAACGTTGGAAGCATCTTGTTTAAGAGAATTAGTTTAATGTTCTCATTGTAGCTATCTGAATTAAGTTCTTCTTCTAACTTTCTGATTGTAAGAAGAGCGAAATTCTTCGAAACTCTCATGGATAACGGATCTGCTGTTTTCCCGACATCCATTGAAGCAATGGCAGAATCTAAGAAATAGTCAAGAGGAAGTAAATTCACGTATACGTCCAATAAATCAAATAAGCGATCTGCTATCTTTTCGCAAGACGAAGTATCAATAAATTTCTCCAAACTCGAAAGAATAAGCGCAGTATTCTTTCTAAATTCTTTTAGCGAATTAGCGCTATCTGACAAAGATAATTCAGGGTCTAATAAAGATATGGAGAGCTTTGCTTTCAAGGAAAGCCCATTATTGAAACTAAACTTAGTCTCAGGAGGAGAACGTATTACATCACACAAGAAGGTTAACAAATCGGCTTTTAAAGAGACCAACCCATCATCTGATAAGGATAACACTGAAGCTCCAAAAATTGCTCTAGTGCTTAGCTTAGTATATTCTTCGCTTCCACTCTCTAATTGAGCTACTGGAATTTGTTCCCACAATTCAAAATATTTACTGATACCAAATAATTGTTGTTCAGCAGAAAAAATTTTCATGAATGAGCTCGTAAACTCCAATAATGATCTACAATCATTCGTTTTCCCTTTTTCGAGATTTCTTGAATAATGTTGTCCCATCAAAAATAAAATAATGTGAAGTGATTTTTCGTATCCCAAAGTTTTCGTAAGAGAGCTGAATAAATTGACTCGCCGATGTCTTGGGATGTGTTGAAATGCCGTGACAAAACTAGTTAATAGAAATTCCACTTCATAATTCAAAGTTGAAGAACCGCTAGCAGCTAAAGCCGGTATAACTTTTGAGATAGTCTTTTGAAGCGCAACACTAGAAAATTCATCATCTTGTCTTACGGTATGAACTCCCATGAATGTAAAAATTGGCATAACAGCATGTAAGATGGTCTCAGGTGATAAAGATGCTAGTTCTGCAATAACCAACATTAACCTATTTTGAACTTCTGGCGAAGAAGATGACCTAATAGAGTTAACAATAAGGTCAGCTCTAACAGAATTGGAATCAAATTTATGCACCAATGAACTTCTTTTTATTTGGCTCACGCAAAGAAGCATACACGAAGCTAATATTTCTTGTGGATACAAAATTGGTAAGTTACCATCATTTCCTAAGTATTCCAAGTCAGTTAAAATCTTGAAGAAAGCTTTTAATAAATCCGGCTGTGAAATTTCATTATCATTATCTCTCAATTTATTATTTAGCAAGTCTAGAATTGCTGTCAATTTTTTAAGATGAACTGCTGCTAAGTTACTAATATCATCTCTTGCCATTGCTTGTCTGGTTGAATTGGAAGATTTCCTGCGTCTCTTTGCTAGCCCTTGCTCTGGCAATGTTGATCCAATTTGAACTCCGTTCAATACTGCCAAAACTAAATCATGATCCATTTTTAATTTTGATAAAGTATCGATTACGTCAAACGACGTTGGTTCATCTTCTAGTGACATATCAACAAATTTATTGATTAGTTTCATCTTAAGGTCAGTTGATTTAATAGTATCGAATACTTTTATTATTTGATTGCTTGTACTCAATTGCAAATGCGGAATCCTTGAATCCAATGCTTCCAAAAACCAATCAACTTCCTTCACAGCATTCTTTTGATGTGAGGAAGATCCCCCGACCAAAGAAACTATTGAGTCTTCTACTTCATCAAAGTCAATCTTCTCCAATTCAGATTCTTTTTGAAAAGTGCTACGGTTCAGAAAATAATTCGTTAAGTCACTGTCAAGAAAAAATTGCCTCAAGTCTGGATCTCGAGTATTGAATTTTGCAGTTATACGCCATGCTTTCCACTTCATAGCAAGAGGCAAAAAAGGGAGTGACCACTGACTCATTACAAATGTTCTAATGAGTAAAGCATTCGACTTTTTAGCATTGGAGGTTTTACTATTAGATAGAAGCTGAAAGATAACTTCAATGCCTCGTTCACGATCGGTGACAGCATCATTTATGGAAGACTCATTGGCCAAAGTACTTGTAGCAGCTAGAGCGATCTGTGGCGCTATTATAGCCCTATCTTTCATTTCCATGTTTCCGTATATATGTTTTTCCATGAATAAGACAGGCTTTCTTTTACCTTTTGAGCTATTATTTCTGTTGCATACTTCATGTACTAAGTCCATTAGTTCGATAAAAAGCTGCCTAACATAGCGATGACTCTCATATATCCCTAAAAGTAAAATCGGGATCAAGAGGTAAATGTCAATCTTTTCCAGAGATGCAGAAATTTCTTTAAGTCTCTTTTTAATGAAGCTCAAAGATAAAAGTCTTGATGCTAATGGAACTGATGGAGTTAAAGACAATGTTATAAAGAAGGAAAAAGATGATTCGGGAGATTGAAAAACTTTCTTACTAAAACATGAAATAATTGACTTTTGTGTCTTAAGTGGATGTCCTATTAATCCTTTCAATAAAATCTTTGAAAGACGATTAAACTCACTGAAATCTGAATGGAAGAACGATTCCTTCTTTGTTACAGTGCTATCCCAATTTTCTATGCCTTCATTCATGTCAGCAGTTAAATCCACATCACCGAAATCGTTTCCTTCATATTCAGTGTCAGCATCATTTATGCTTTCATTTGCATCAAGAGCTGTCATAAGCAACATTTCCAACTCATTGATTTTTAAGTTTCGTTGTTTTAAAACTTCATTGAATAACTCATGGTTCGCTTTTAAAAGACATTCCAATGTGTTACCAGTGTGTACTCTTGCGATCTCATTACTTGTGTTAGCATTTTCTATAAGTTTGTTTGTTATAGCCTTAAAATGTTTCTCAGACTCATTAAGATTTATAAAATTGAAAATCTTAAATGCGTCAAGGTCTGGTAAAGATGATATAAAGGAATAAATCAAAAACTTGTTCATTTTATAACCATCTTCAACTAATTGATCAATTAAATTTATGCTTCCTCCGATGTTATTCATGAGCTTCCGCAAAGAGGGAATTTCACTTACGTCATTACCGTAGAAATTCCACAATTGGCCCAACACAATGAAAGTCTGTTTCGACACAGAAGGGTCTAAAGAAAAAGGATCTTGTAATATCGAATCTGTGAGAGATATTAACAAGTCATCTGATAATGGAACAACGGACCCTAGAACTGAAATGAGTGAATATGCTGTTAACTTTTTATCTATCAACGTCTCTTCAGAATATCTTGATTTCTTCTCGATCAAAAGTAAATTACCAATAACTTCCAATAACAAAGGCATGTAATTTTCGTTTAATACATCCAATCTTTTTGAATACGAAGCTATTAATTGAACAGCATTTGCTAAGAAGAATACTAGTTGATCTTTGTATACAGTTTTGCTATCCAACAGGTCTATCAAAAATGATGAATATAATTTCACAAATTCAATATTATCATGGAATGCCTTCAAAATAGAGGTTGAAGGTGGGTTTCTTAGTTGATCCTTATATCCAATCACCCATTCAAATAATTTTGGAAACTGATTCTTGGGAATCACATTCAATATCCTAACAAAAATAGGATATCTATAATAGGGAAGAGCAGTCAACAAGATCATTTCTCCATTATGTATGTTAATTTGAAATCTTCGAACTAACCATTCGAGAGATTTCACTGCAGACTCCATCCTATAGAACGGCCCGATCATCTTTAAAAAAGCATCGATAGTCCTATTTAAATTATCAATAGTTTCCTTAGATTGAACATTTCTATCGAAATCAATTGAAGTCTGCGAGAATAATGTCTCTTTGAATGATCTGAATCTGGGCTCGAATTCTTCAAGCTCTTCGAATCCCTCTAAGCCAATTTGATGTATATAATCATAGTCCTGAGTTGACGCAACTTTCGGTTCAAAAATGAGAGAACGCGAATGGATCCTCGAACGAGACTTTCTGTCTATGGCAACAGAGGCGTTGTTGTTTCCCAACCCTTTCAACTGCTGCGATAACGAAGACATGTCCTTAGAAATATACCAAACCTTAAATGGTTTCAATTTTAGTATTTGCAGAAAAAGAGAAGACTTAAAAAAAATTTGTGTGAAATAATATGCAGGTGCATCGCGACTCGTGATTAATCCATGATTTTGCAATCGAGTAATATTAAAGTAAAAAACAGTTGAAACATCCATTGAAGATAAAACTATGAATAGAAATGAAATACTTTTATTTAAGGTTGAAATTAGGCGATCCAGAACCAGATTTTTTCCATCCAATTTTTTGGTATTCTTTCGGGTTCATTCCTATCTTCTTCCTCTATCAAGTCTAAGCCTGTAAATAAGTCAATACGGGGAATTGGGATCAATAATCTTCTCACGCCACGATAATAAAAGTTATATATCTTATGTCCAACGTAGAGAACAAAAACAATTGGAAATGTAATATAGGCTGCTAAGAAATCGCCTATGTTGAAATCAAAAAATACGGCATAACCATTAGTTAAAGTGACGAGACCAATGAATATAATGACATAGTAGGCGCCGTATGGCTGTAATATTGTCTTGTAAGTGACCCTATCTTGTAAGTTGTTATATGCGATTGCTTTTCTCCATCTTAAATAGGCAAATGAAACAAGGATCCATGAAATAAAACCTGAGATTGTAGATATATTTGAAAACCAAGAAAAAACATTAGATGACGACGATGAGCAGTTCAAATATGATAAGAAACCGAAGCAAGATGAAGCCATAACACTAAAGTAAGGTACACCAAACTTGTTTACTTTTGAAAATATTGCTGGAGCAATTCCTCTAGTTGACATGGAATAGAGTGTTCTGGAAGCAGAATAGAGAAATGAATTTCCTGCCGATGCTGCTGAAGTAAGAATGACGGCATTAATAATATGGTTTAATACTGGTATACCTGCATTCTGAATTCCTAAAACAAACGGAGATGCGGAAGCATCCGAGGAGCCACTTAATAAATGTGGATTATTAGAACTCACAATGACTCCAATGACCAATGTTCCAAAGATGTAAAAGAAAGCCAATCTATAGATAAATCTATTGGCTGCTTTGGGGATGTTTCTTCTGGGGGCTTGGCATTCACCTCCTGCTGTCGCAATCAACTCGGGAGAGCAAATAAATGCAAATCCTGACTTTATTATAGCTGTCCATACAGCAAGAAATTTTCCAGTATCTCCTCCTGTCAAATGTTCTTTAAAAGCGTGATCATGCTTCCAGTACCTGAATCCTAACCTATCATGGGTAGGCCCTCCTCCAAAGAATAAAACTATACCCAAAATTATCAATCCGACAATGGCTATAAGTTTCAAACTCGCAAAATAAAACTCCGCTTCTCCAAAATACTTGACAGAACTCATATTAAGCGCGATTATAACAGCTAGAAATATTGTGATCCATGCAGCAATATTGATGCTTCTGTTCCAGTATTGTACCACAATTGCTGCTGCTGTTACTTCCGAGGCGACTAACATTGCAAAAGCATACCAATAATTGTACCCTATCGCAAATCCAAAGGACTCATCGACATAGTCATTTACAAAAGCTTGTGCACCATTTCCAGGTAATGGTAAAAAGGTTGTCATTTCCCCCAACATATTCATCACAAAAAATATAACCAGTGACATGATTAAGTAACTGATAAACAAGGCCGCAGGCCCACACGTTGCTAAGGCAGATCCACTGCCAACAAACAAACCAGTTCCAATACATCCACCAAGAGCAATAAGTTGAACATGTCTTGATTTCAAGCCTCTTTCGAGTTCTTTGGAGTTGAAGGTGTGAAGAGACTCTCCAGATACTGTTGGAGAAATAGCTTTGCCTTTTTCATCCAAGGATACTATCCTAGAGTTCGACAATGACATGTCTAAATATCCTGATTTACCTCTATATATTTCAGGCCGAGAAGCCGTAGAATGCACCGCGTAATCTTCTTTCGACTCAATCATTGTTTGATGTTGTTCAAAATTTCTTTCTTATACTATACTATATCAAGAATCCTGTAAGCAACAGCTCTGGATGTCTTCTCAATTTGACTCTTAATTACCTTGGAATATACCTGACGATTTTAACAGTATTTATCTTTTTGCTACCCCAGTGTCATGTCATGTAAACTTTAGATATGCTCAATTTTTTTTTTCATGCTGCAATCTCGAGATATCTTCAGTGGCTCCTCCCTCGATAATGCCGTTTCTATGTGATTGTATGCCGTATTTTTTACACCAAAAACAGTCTCGAGTTATAATTATCTTAGAGCTTTGAATCTAATATGCCGGAATCTGAGAAGATAAAAGCCACACTGCGCACGAAATAGTAACGTTCTGCGAGGTTAATGTCGGCATACTCCAGCTTGTGCCAGAGTTAGGATAATGTAAGCGAGCAGGCTCTTCACGAAATCTTTAAGGGAGGGGTCAGATTCTGTTTCAGGGCCCCAACGTAAGACCCAGTAAGGTAGTGGGATACGCAGATGCTCGCCAAGGAAACCTTACAGGTCAGCAAGCAGACATTCTTTTATCAAAGCTAAAGATTATGTCATTAATAAAAATCTGACTTAAGAGTGCGTGTTAAGTAAAATTTGACCCTGAACTACATTCTCATTATTCTCTCCAAGTCTGTATTGAACTATGTACTACGTAACTAATCAGGGGAGTAAAATAAAAATTCGTGAGAAATGTAGTGCTGAAAAACTCATAACATATTAAAAACGTCGTGATTTTGCCATCAGTAGCTCACTGAAGCAGTGGCGTGGTTCGCTTGCTCACTTCTTTTTAAACAAAGGTTCTCCGATGTTTTTTCCTCTCAACTTGACACCTAACACCCTTTCCATCTTTCCAAGAACTTGCTGGTTTGGAACGGCTCTACCAGCTTCGTAGTCGTTGATGACTGTTGGCTTCTCGTTGATTTTGGTGGCCAAATCTTTTTGCGTTAACTTCTTCTCTAGTCTGAACTTCAGAATAGTCTTACCAACATTCGTATCAATTTTTTTCGTAGGTACAACATCATCCGTAGCATCAAGCTTTGTCAATCTTTGGCCCTCTGGATTAGCCTTGCTGTTGGTGCTGCCATATTTTTTTTCTGTTCCGACGACGTTCCCGGCTCTCCTAGCGGCGTTCAACTGACTTTGAGATTTTACCACATTCTCTCTTGGACCACCACCGCCACCTCTGACTTTCGATCCTATATAAGTAACATTTTCCCAATCAGAAGACATTTTGATAAATAAAGCTATTATTTGTATTTAATACTATCTATGTAAGAATTGCTCTTAAGCTCGTTGCATTTATGACTGGCGTCAGACCTAATGATTCGGACCCATGCACGACCGTGGGAAGTTTCTAGAAATAACTTTTCCTACGCATCAGAATGGTGAGTAACGAAGATATATTGATTAGAGAGTTGGTATCCATTCATATTAGCGATTGCATTGCTACAGTCTTCCGCTTCTTCGTATTGTATCATTGCTTTGTCGTCACGTAGTTGGATATCTATTATCTTTCCAAAAGGAATAAAATTAGACTCAAGAATTTCCGTAGAGCATCCTTTCGGAAGATTAACTATTCAGTCAGTAAACATTCTGTAGCATATAATCTGCTTTCCTATCACTGGTAGTCTTTGGTATCAAATTGTACTTACATATGTCTAATTTTGTTTCTGCGTCCATATCATCTGTGAAGAAAATCGCTGTGACAGATAGTCTCGATTTAAGCGCAGTGCGATTGCTATTTTAACATTTTTCTCTTTCCTCTCTAACACAGTGACACAGTAAAATGGTTTCAATCACTGTTAAATCTCGCTCAAAAGCATTGAAAGAGTTAATCACAGATGAATTAACCCCCGAATCATCTACAGCAGAATTGATCACATTAGTTAGTGATTCCGGAGAGCTTTCGCCTTCTAGAATTAGACTTACACTGTTGGGTTCAGACGGCAAGCATAAACCCTTAGATGCCTCTAAGTCATTGGCAGACAATGGTCTTGCTTTAGATGCTAAAAATGTTACTTATTATGCTAAGGACATGGGCCCCCAAATTGGTTGGAGAACTGTCTTCGTAATTGAGTATTTGGGGCCGCTTTTGATTCACCCGTTTTTTTACTACCTCAATATATTTGGACAAGACTACTCTAGAACTCAAACCATTGCGTTTTTTTTGGTAACACTCCACTTTCTCAAAAGAGAGTTAGAGACTCTTTTTGTTCATCGTTTCTCCAATTCGACAATGCCATTCTTTAATGTGTTCAAGAATTCCGGGCATTATTGGATATTGTCAGGATTTAACCTTTCCTTTTTCGTTTATTCGAAAAACTTTCAAGACTGGAGGAGATATTTGTTCTCTGTCAATGACTTACCATTACCAGCGGTTTTATTTCTTACAGGATTATGGATATTTGCCGAACTTTCAAATTTGAAGACACACATCGCATTGTCTAATTTAAGATCTAAAGACCCTAAAAGATATGTCATTCCAAAGGGCTATGGATTTGATCAAGTGGCCTGTCCAAATTACTTTTTTGAGTCATTGTCGTGGTTAGCTTATGCTGTTTTAGTTGGCAATTGGAGTGCTTGGCTATTTTTGATTGTTAGTGTTGTTCAAATGTATCTCTGGGCAATCAAAAAGAACAGGAGATACTTGAAAACTTTTGGTGATGACTACAAGAAATTGAGAAGAGCAGTGTTCATTCCATTCATTTTATAGTTCTATACTGTCATATATAATACACATATGTATAGAAAAGATCAATTTACAATTCTTCATTCTGGTTTGAATTTCAAGCAAATGCTATTCACACAGTGTCTTTCATCTGTCGGAGTTTGATAGCCCTCGCCCCTAAATATATGCCCAAGGTGACCTCCGCAATTAGAGCACCGCATTTCTTCTCTTACCATACCAAACGATTCATCGCGGTTGACCTTGATGGAATTTGGAATTGCCTCATAAAAGGCAGGCCAGCCACAATTAGAGCTGAACTTGGTCAGAGCTTTGTAAATAGGTTGATGACATGCAACACACTCATATACTCCCGTTTTGCTAGCTGGTGTCGATGTGTATTCGCCACTATAAGGTGCCTCTGTTCCTTGCTGTCTTAAGACTCTAAATTGCTCCGGGGAGAGAATCGCTTTCCACTCCTGTTCTGATTTTGACATTTTTTTACGAATGCTTATCTTTGCTAAATTCAACGATGAACTTAAACGTGCTTTATTAAATGTCCTTATCATATATCTAAGAGCAAGAGATATAGTAAGTGATGCCATATTTGATTATATCCAGGCCGCGAACGTTATTCCAAAATCCTTAATACACAGGAAAGCTAGTTCCCATTTAAGGACAAGATGTAGGCGACACCTAAACTAGTTCGATCTCACAACAATAATTGGATATTTATCAGTAAAGCAAGTAGCTTAAATATTGATTGTTTGGTTCGCTAAAAAATAGAAAGAATTTAGTCAACCTATGCTTTACAGTGACATAAAAAATTAAAGGTAATGCTAAACATATAACATTGGGAGTCCATTAGCGCATAAAATAATTGAACTTTCCAGATTGCTCCCTTGATCTATCATTGCTACTAGTCTTAAGTGTCCAATCAATTTCAATGTCTAATTCTCTTGGATTACTCCCATTTGGTCTTGATGAAATGTTTCCATTAATAACATCTCCCTTTTTGAGGTCCAATACTTGATCCATATAAAATACTGTCTGCTTCCAGTGGGTATAATGGTTCATTGGTCCGGTACGTAATACAACTTGTTCATCTCCTGGAAACTGGCAATCAAACCACACTATGAATGCGTGACATAAATCAGCGTCAATGGCTTCAAGTTTGAAGGGGCGTTGAAATGCCAAATCCTCTTTTCTAATTTTCTTTATATCAAATTCAAAGAACTTACAAGATGTTGTCATTAAAGAATGATTATCAACAGTGTCCACTAGTGGTTCAACCATAGCAACATCTATGAAGGGTGAAAAATCGAATCCATAAACATCTTCCCAAAAATGGATTTTCTCTTGTTTATACTGTCCATCTTCAATTCCGGCAATATACATTGAGCACTTGTCAGGAAAGATCAATCCATCATCTTTTAGGTATTTATCTCTAGCATAGATCACGGTGTCCAACATAGATTCATATAATAGGAAATATCCCATCCACTCAGATATAATAATATCCACTTTATCAACACCCAAATCCAAGTCCTCAAGTTTTCCCTCAAGTAAAGTGATTTTATCATCAAATCCATTCAAATTGACAATTTCTCTAGCTTTTTCAATGATATTCGACATATCAACTGCGTAAACATGCTTAGCTCCTGCCTTTGCTGCAAACATAGAAAGTATTCCAGTACCGCAGCCGACATCTAATACGATCTTGTCCTTAAAAAGTTGCTTATTCTTGTACATAGCAGATCTATAAGATAAAGTTCTTGCTGTATCTTTCAACATCTCCTCATGAATTCCAAAATGATCATAGGATGAAAAATAATGTTGCTCAGAAAATGGCAACTGTTTCTTATCAGTAGCGGACATCCTTTTTTTAAATCTGGTTAGTCGCTACTCAGGAAAGATTAAAGTTTACGAATATTTCGGTAGCGATGCTCTATATTAATTTTTTTTTTCCTCTTTTTCTTCAATCGTGAGAACAAATTCGGTCTACACACGTTGAAACTTATATTTCATGTTACATAACTGGATTCACAGTAGGAGATACGATGTGTCACGTCTAAGATAGAGGTATGATAGACGTACTTTAAAATTCGATTAGTATCAACTCAAGTCATTTAGAGTACGCTTATAAAATATTTTAGAAATGGAGATTTTTTGCATTCACATATATGTACGTCAACTTCAAATTATTTATCAAATATGTCATGCGGAATACTATTGTACCATTACATCCAAGAACAGGGCTGCGAAAAACTTTCGATTCAACTTAAGACCTGAAAACAATCTTTTCTCCATGAACTTCATTGTTTTTCAAAAGTTTCATAGCAGGATTAACTGAGCCAAGTCCAGCTTCCAAAACCTTAAGTGGTGCATTCTTGATTGTTTTGAGATGAGGAGCTAAAAGCTCATTCTTAAAATACAAATGATCCTTCGTGATCTCAGCACTCGCTGGTAGACCTAAATGAGATTTACCATCAGTCAAATAGACAAGTGTCGCAGAGAATTTCACTGACCTTTCGGAATTTACTTTAATATCTTTCTCTGTTAAAAAAAGTAAATTATCGATGGACACGTTTTCAAACCCTTCAGTGGCATCATAGGTTTGTTGCCAAGTTTTGGGCTCCGATACAGTATCAAGCCCATACAGGATCTTACCATTTCCGGCTTTCTTAATGTCTTTGATAACGCTAGCCTCTTTGTAATCAAAAGTCTCATCTGCACCCAAGGACTTCAAAAATTGATGATGCTTCGATGATGCAGTAGTGATTACTTTCAAACCATAAATCTGTTTTGCAACTTGAATTGCTAATATTCCAGTAGCTGTTGCACCACCCCAAATCAAAATGAATTTCGAAGCATTTTCTGATTTATGTGGTTTGATACCAAGGTTGAACGAAAGAGCCATACCAACTGTGCTGAGACCCAACGTCACAGAAGCTGCACCTTCGAATGTGTTGATCAAAGAGGCGGGATGATAGCCTAAAGATAAAGCTTCTTCCTTGATCTGTGACTTGGGGTACTTCAATGTCAAGTTAGGGTTAAGCGCAACATATTCAGCAAATGCACCCGAAGTCTTACTAGTATTACCATGCATTGTAGCTGAGACGATATCTCCCACTTCGAAGCCAGTAACAGACTTACCGACCTCTGAAACCACACCGCTAACATCAGAACCAGAAATTGCACCTGGTATTCCGCCCATTTTCAAAACTATATGTTTCCAATCAGTAGGGTTTGCAGCATACGCGATTGCCTTGATGATAATTTCGTCATCTTTCAATGTCGGATAGGGTATATTTTTAATCTCACTAAACTTTTCCATATCCGTGGAACCAGTTAGTAAAGCGGCTTCATTCTTAATAGTTTCTTTATTCGGTACCATTTTTTAATCCATTTCTTCTTTTTAAACTATCGAATGCAAACAGTAAAAGGAAATGTACTCGAATTTATAAGAAAAGCCGATGATGTAATCAGAATCAAAAAAACAGCAATGCTTATAAATTCGTTCCGAGAAGTCGGAACTTTATAATCAACTTCGTAAAGATCTCAAAGATAACTTTCATATATCGTCACAAAGGTCCGTTTCCATATTACTTCAGGCTTTAGATTCTTTTAGGGTTCTTGTGATAATTGAGTTAATACTACACTTATCTCGGAGTTCTATGTCGACGGCTATCCGGGAAAGAGAAATCACACCAAATCTGTCATAGTAATCCAAAGCTTCGGTAATGCAATATCGGCGACCATGCCTCGCACGCTACTGAGTAAATTCAGTAGTGATATAATTGAAGTCAAGTGACCATAAGGGAAATTAAGCAACGTTGATCAAATTATATATTTTTGAAGGAAGAAACTCTGGGAGCAGTATATCTTGTTTGCGTTTATATTCATATTGCAAGCTTTTTCTTTGATGTAGAAAGTATCTGCCTAAAATGATAATATACGTAATCAAAAAGCTATGTTACGGACTTTCTTTTCTCTCCTCATTAATTCTTATGTCACTTAAGAAAATCATAGAAGAACTCACAAAAAATTAGAACAAGTAATACCTAATCACCAT